TCCCTCAGGTTGAGAAGTCTCTCCAGCGTATACAGAGTGGTCAGACTAATGCTATGTACACCTTGCAACAGAGCGTGGAGAATAAGGTGTGTGTGTATGGGTGTTTGCATACATGTGTGTGCTCTTTACTTCAGTGTAAGGTCTTTGGTGTTTCTCATTACTTAGTTATTCTGTGTTACCTTAATGAATAACTGTTTTCTATAAACCCACCAGGTTGGTGGTGTACCGGGATGGCAGGCCCTGCTGTCAGCCGTGGGGTTCCGGTTAGACTGTCCCGGCACCAGCAGTGGTCTCCCCGCTGCTGTCTTCTTCCCTATGGCCGACCCTGGAGACCGGCTGCAGCTCTGCAGCACCACTCTGCAGTCACTACTAGGTAATCAATTATTCAACCAAATAATCAACCAATCAGACTGTCAGCACAGCACTATACTCCAGTCCCTACATGGAAAACTATCAATCAGTCAATCTTCTCTGTCGTCCAGGTCTGCCTCATTCAGCCTTCCAGGCCCTCTGTAAACTGGTCAGTGCTGCTGAGACTGGAGAACAGCTCATAAACAAGGTAGGCCTCAATGCACACAGACACACACACACATACATTGGTTAATTTACATGCTGTATGCTCTATTTCACGCATGGTCACTGCGTGTCTCTGCAACTGAATTGGCGGCTCGCGGCAATCTGAATGAATGTCTTCCTCAGTCAGCTGAATGGCCTGCTTACTTTATAGAACTGTGGTTACGTGAATAACCTTCGATATTCGCTATAGCGGCTGGGGCAAAAACAGATTTCTAGCGCATCTTGAAATTGTTTTCTTCCTACGAATTTGGCTCAATCTTTTGAACAATTGCCTGAAATCGAAGACTCTCAGGAACACGTACGTGTCATCTGTTTCCATCTAGGATGCACACAAGCTGTTCAGGACTTGAAGACAGAGTGATGTATCTGCAGAGAAGGACTGGGGAAATAAATTGATTCTCCACAGAAGATCAAACAAAAAGATTGCTTGATGATCATTCTCTACGTTTACAGTACCAGTCAAAAGTTTGGACACACTTACTCATTCAAGGGTTTTTCTTGATTTTTACATTGTAGAATAATAGTGAAGACATCAAAACTATGAAATAACACATATGGAATCATGTTATTTTTGTGGAAGAATGGTGTTGCATCCCTGCAATAGAGTTCCAGACACCAGTAGAATCTATGCTAAGGCGCATAGGAGCTGTTCTGGAAGCTTGTGTTGGCCCAATGCCCTATTAAGACACTTTTTGTTGGTGTTTCCTTTATTTAGGCAGTTACCTGTAGCTTTACCTGTACGTACGTATGTACATGTGTGTATATATATATATACAGTACCAGTCAAAAGTTTGGACACACCTACTCATTCAAGGGTTTTTCTTTATTTTTACTATTTTCTACATTGTAGAATAATAGTGAAGACGTCAAACTATGAAATAACACAAATGGAATCATGTAGTAACCAAAAAAGTGTTCCAAAAATCTAAATAGGGGCCTCCAGTGTGGCGCAGTGGTCTAAGGCACTGCATCGCAGTGCTAGCTGTGCCACTAAAGATCCTGGTTCGAGTCCAGGATCTGTCGCAGCCGGCCGCGACCGGGAGACCCATGGGGCGGCGCACAATTGGCCCAGCGTCGTTTGGGCCAGTGACTCTAGCGCACTAGCGACTCCTGTGGCGGGCCGGGCGCAGTGCACGCTGACTCGGTTGCCAGGTGTACGGTGTTTTCTCCGACACATTGGTGCGGCTGGCTTCCGGGTTAAGCTGGCACTGTGTCAAGAAGCAGTGCGGCTCGGTTGGGTTGTGTTTCGGAGGACGCACGACTCTCGACCTTTGCCTCTCCCGTGTCCGTACGGGAGTTGCAGCGATGGGACAAGACTGTAACTACCAATTGGATACCACTAAAAAGGTATCCAAGGAGAGTGATGGAGTGCTGCATCAGATGACCTGGCCTCCACAATCCCCCAACCTCAATCCAATTGAGATGGTTTGGGATGAGTCGGACGGCAGAGTGAAGGAAAAGCAGCCAACAAGTGCTAAGCATATGTGGGAACTCCTTCAAGATTGTTGGAAAAGCATTCTAGGTGAGAGAATGCCAAGAGTGTTATTTCATAGTTTTGATGTCTTCACTATTATTCTACAATGGTAAAAATAAAGAAAAACCCTTGAATGAGTAGGTGTCCAAACTTTTGACTGGTAGTGTACATATTGCCTCAATTACCTCGACTAACCTGTGCCCCTGCACATTGACTCTGTACCGGTGCCCCCTGTATATAGCCTCCCTACTGTTATTTTATTGCTGCTCTTTAATTATTTGTTTTTTATTTGTATTTTTTATTAAATGTTTTACTTATCTATTTTTTACTTAACACTTATTTTTCTTAAAACTGCATTGTTGGTTAAGGGCTTGTAAGTAAGCATTTCACTGTAAGGTCTACACCTGTTGTATTCGGTGCATATGACAAATACAATTTGATCTGATGTTTTCCTGAACTTTCCAGTACCTTTCTGATGCATTTCAATCACCCCAAAACATAATTCCTTCAGACTGGAATTTGGCATTACCTGATTTGACATATCTTTGTGCTATTACTAAGATAAGGCCAGATTACAAAGATTCATCAAATTATTTTTAAGTTTCTGATAACCCCAAGTGTCCTAAAATCGAGAATCAAGTAGCTTGATAATCCATGTTAATAGTATTTTAAATAGCATGTACAGTGGGGGAAAAAAGTATTTAGTCAGCCACCAATTGTGCAAGTTCTCCCACTTAAAAAGATGAGAGAGGCCTGTAATTTTCATCATAGGTACACGTCAACTATGACAGACAAAATGAGTAAAAGAAATCCAGAAAATCACATTGTAGGATTTTTTATGAATTTATTTGCAAATTATTGTGGAAAATATGTATTTGGTCACCTACAAACAAGCAAGATTTCTGGCTCTCACAGACCTGTAACTTCTTCTTTAAGAGGCTCCTCTGTCCTCCACTCGTTACCTGTATTAATGGCACCTGTTTGAACATGTTATCAGTATAAAAGACACCTGTCCACAACCTCAAACAGTCACACTCCAAACTCCACTATGGCCAAGACCAAAGAGCTGTCAAAGGACACCAGAAACAAAATTGTAGACCTGCACCAGGCTGGGAAGACTGAATCTGCAATAGGTAAGCAGCTTGGTTTGAAGAAATCAACTGTGGGAGCAATTATTAGGAAATGGAAGACATACAAGACCACTGATAATCTCCCTTGATCTGGGGCTCCACGCAAGATCTCACCCCGTGGGGTCAAAATGATCACAAGAACGGTGAGCAAAAATCCCAGAACCACATGGGGGGAACTAGTGAATGACCTGCAGAGAGCTGGGACCAAAGTAACAAAGCCTACCATCAGTAACACACTACGCCGCCAGGGACTCAAATCCTGCAGACGTGTCCCCCTGCTTAAGCCAGTACATGTCCAGGCCCGTCTGAAGTTTGCTAGAGTGCATTTGGATGATCCAGAAGAGGATTGGGAGAATGTCATATGGTCAGATGAAACCAAAATATAACTTTTTGGTAAAAACTCAACTCGTCGTGTTTGGAGGACAAAGAATGCTGAGTTGCATCCAAAGAACACCATACCTACTGTGAAGCATGGGGGTGGAAACATCATGCTTTGGGGCTGTTTTTCTGCAAAGGGACCAGGACGACTGATCCGTGTAAAGGAAAGAATGAATGGGGCCATGTATCGTGAGATTTTGAGTGAAAACCTCCTCCTCCCATCAGCAAGGGCATTGAAGATGAAACGTGGCTGGGTCTTTCAGCATGACAATGATCCCAAACACACCGCCCGGGCAACGAAGGAGTGGCTTCGTAAGAAGCATTTCAAGGCCCTGGAGTGGCCTAGCCAGTCTCCAGATCTCAACCCCATAGAAAATCTTTGGAGGGAGTTGAAAGTCCGTGTTGCCCAGCGACAGCCCCAAAACATCACTGTTCTAGAGGAGATCTGCATGGAGGAATGGGCCAGAATACAAGCAACAGTGTGTGAAAACCTTGTGAAGACTTACAGAAACATTTGACCTGTGTCATGGCCAACAAAGGGTATATAACAAAGTATTGAGAAACTTTTGTTATTGACCAAATACTTATTTTCCACCATAATTTGCAAATAAATTCATTTAAAATCCTACTGTGTCATAGTTGACGTGTACCTATGATGAAAATTACAGGCCTCTCTCATCTTTTTAAGTGGGAGAACTTGCACAATTGGTGGCTGACTAAATACTTTTTTTCCCCACTGTATATGAATCAACTTGATATCATGTATGAATCAATTCGACTTTGGGACTCCCCCAACCCCTGTTCTCCGATGGGTAGGCTATGGCGATTGGCAGCTTGCCCAGTTTGGTTGTTTCACAAAAGTGGCTCCCCCAGAAATATTATTGAATATGCATGTGATGGGCCTGGTAATATTTGCATGGGGTCAATATCAATATCATCATAGCCGCTGTGATTTTTAGGGCTTATAAATAGTGGTAGTCCTTGCATGGTCTTCGTTTACAAGATCTGTTACTTTCTAATGGTCTGCTCCTAACAATTTAAGTCCTCTATCTCTTTCGCTCTTCCTCCTACCCACCACTTGAAGGCTGTTAAAAATATGGTGGGAATGGTAAGTTGTGTGTTGTATCATTCTGGCACGAGAAACTCATACTGAGGCAAAAAAGTAGGACAGGGCAGAAGTGACCTAAGCTACAATAACCTGATAAACTACCTCTCCCTGTCTCCAGCTCCACCAGGTATTAGTTCAGCAACAGACATGTGACAAGGAACAGGAGTTCTCATTGGCTCCCATCCAGGTGTCCATTAGTGTCCAGCTGTGGAGACTTCCTGGTTGTCACGAGTTCCTGGCTGCGCTGGGTGAGTCATCACCGCACTGAGAATTAGATATACTTGTATAATAGCAGTGGCAGGCAATCTCATCTTTAGAGAGCCAGTGTGGGTGTGTCAAGTTAGAACCCAGGTCTCCTGCATGTCACAAGACTGTGTTAGCCCATTGAACTAAAGCCTAAGCGTTAGGTGTGTGTGTCATTCTTTTCCCTTCTCTGTTTCCCTCCAGGTTTTGACCTGTGTGAGGCAGGACAGGCGGAGGTGCTATTGAAGACTGGTAAACAGGCTAGCAGACGGACAATGCACTTTGCTCTGCAGTCTCTACTGGCACTGTTTGGTAAGGGTCTCCAAGCCCTCTCTCTTAACTCTACATTGTTACAGTATGTATTTTGGTCACATAGCCTGGCATCCAGACTTCCTATACTTACAATGTGCTTCACCATTTCATCTTACCCCTGTCTCACCTCTCCATCTTCTCCTCTCTCCCTTGCAGACTCCACAGAGCTCCCCAGACGCCTCAGCCTGGACAGCTCTTCCTCTCTAGAGTCTCTCTCCTCCTCCCAGTGTGCCTCCCTTCCCCTCAACCTCCCCCAGCCTCCCTTCTCCCCCCCGCTTGGCGGCCCAGACAGTCTCTCCTGCGACGCAATCTCCCTCTACAGCCTCAGCTCCCTCGCCTCCTCTCTCAGCTTCCTGTCCCGCCCTGAACCCGCAGGAAGTGATGTCATCAGCCAGCGCTCGCGGCAGCAGGAGCTGCACCGTGGAGGAGTCTCTCACCGACACACAGGAGGCGTGTCAAGAAACAGATTAACGAATCACAGAGGAGGAGGAGGAGGGACAGAGGGGGAGGATGAATATGAAGGATTCTCTATCATCAGCAGTGAGCCTCTGGGAGGAGGGGGAGGAGGGGGGAGGGAGTGTGACACCTTGTCCCTCCCTGGGGGACACAGACACATTAGAGGAGCAGGGAGGGGAGGCGCGGCAGGGAGGGAGTACCCCGTCTCGGTCTCCTCCAAGGGGAGTGTCAGCACTCCCACCTCACCGCTCAAAGTCCCCCTGCCGCCCCTGGCAGTACCCCCCAGCCCGAACACACACGTTAAGTCCCAGGGGTAAGTTGTTGCTTTTTTTTTCTTACTTGGCTAAAAAGACACTTGTTTGCTTTAACTGTTCGCAACTTGACCAACTTGTCACATCAAGTTAAACATATCTCCCCCTCCTCTCCTCCCCAGCTCTCTGAGCTTGTCTAAAGGTCAGGGGGTCAGTACAGAGGCGGTCCTCTCTGAGTCTGACCAGTCCAGTACAGAGACAGACAGCACAGTCAAGTCTCAGGAAGACAAGCCACCCCTCACCCCTCTGGACCCCCAGGAACTGGCCACCAGGATCCTGGCAGAGACCCAGAGCCACATGCAGGCTGTGGAGAGCCTCCAGAGGGCGAGGACAGGAAGGGCAGGCAATGGGGGAGGGGAGAAGGGGCTAAGGGGACCAGAATGTACACCTTCCTCAGCCCCCCTGACTCCGACCCTGACCCCCACCGGAGGTGGTTTGGGCTTCCGTTCGTCTGAGACTAGCGCTTTCAGCAGACCCAGTAGTAGAGCAAGCCTACAGGCCCGGGCTTCACCTCTCTCCCTCTCCAGCCCTCTCTCACCCCTCTCCACCCCTCTCTCACCCCTCTCCACCCCTCTCCTCTCCACCAGGCCCAAACCCCCCTCTCGTTGCTCGTCCTTACAGAAGATCAGCTCCGGCTACAACAGCCCGGCCCTATCCTCCCTCTCTCCCTCCCTCTCTTTCTCTCACCCCCAGTCCTCACCCTCCAGAACACCAGACCCCCACATCCATGCGCAGCTCAGACTTAAATACCCCAGCTCCCCTTACACCCCCCACATCTCACACTCCCCCAACAGCATTTCCATCTCCCCCAGCTCAGGCCACCCTTCCCCAGTCGGCAGCCTCCCGTCCTTGGCCGCATCCCCAGCCCTCTCCTACTCCTCTACAGGCTCTACCTCGTCCCGCTCCAGCCCGGCTGAAACCCCTGACCTGGGCCGATTGAAACAGGCAGGCCTGGTGGACGATAGGGTCCAGGCCATCCACAACCTGAAAACCTTCTGGTCCAATGCTACCCAGAGGCAGGAGGTTCCTGGCCCAGGCAGAGTGCTCCAAGATGGGGGGAAGAAGATGAGCATGGTTCAAAAAGATGTCCTGGGGCTCCTCCACCTCTCTCCAAGATATGGGTCCACCAACCAGAACCAGGACGCTGAAGGGCCCCAGAGCCCCACCAACCCGCTTAACGGACATCGAAAGCTGGGTTCAAAACGACCAGTGGCGCCTCCTCCTCAGACTGCTACGGACTCCTCCAGGGGAGGTAGTCCCGGAGCACCCCCACACCCTGTCAGACTGCCATCTGGGAATGGCTTCAAGTTCCCCTCGCCTGGGAAGTACTTCCCCTCCTCTAAATGCTGAGAGGGATTAGAGCAGGGCTCACCAACCCTTTTCCTGGAGAGCTACCCTCCTGTAGGTTTTCAATCCAACCCCAGCTATAACTAACTTAATTCAGCTTATCAACCAGCTAATTATTAGAATCAGGTGCGCTAGATTAGGGTTGAAGCGAAAACCTACAGGACCGTAGCTCTCCAGGAACAGGGTTGGAGAGCCGTGGGTTAGAGACTCTTCAGGGTTAGAGATGGTTAGATAACTGCTCCTGACTCTAAGGCTCTTCTGGTGGGTTATACTAGCTGGGCTGCAAGCTATGAAAGGGACTGAACATTACACTAGCAAGAAGGTCTACTGGGGACCACCAAAAAGTTCCGATTTGCATTAGTTGCATAGAAAGTGGGAGTGGGACACTTTGCGGTGACTGACTACCCCCTAGTGGAGAGGACAGGAAGGACAGAGCAGGGCTAGGTCATAGAGGAGAAGAGTGCAGTCACTGAAGGACAGAGGATCAGATAGGACCCTGTAATAATAACCCTGGGTTATGGTGCCCCATGCCTCCTCCTACACTGTAAAGACACCTTAATACAGGCAGACTGTCTCAGGCTCGGAGACTGTTACAATGACTGAAAATACCAATATGGTGTTTTTACTTTCTACCTAAAACACTCGCTGTTTGTGTAAGTCAAGAAAATGCTAAATTAAATTGTTTTAATTATGATTTCTTTGAATATAATTGTTATTATAAAGGACTGTAACTGTTATATTGTTATTTTGTTTTGTAAATTAAATCCAGTGTTTTGTCATCAGTATTACATGTTTTATATATTAAAAAGCAAACCAGTACACAAATAAATAAATACAAAATCGTATTTTTATTCAATTGCTGAAAAGGCATGTGAGAAGACTTCTATGTAAATGGAGTGTCATTCTGAAAGCATGAATTCTCTTACTATTGAATGTTTCAATGTATTTTTAAAACATACCTTTTGCACCAGTGGACTCTCCTTTAAAGATGCATCTCAGTTTTTTCTCAGTAAATTATTTTCAATAAAAAAGTTTTGCTCTCTTGTTGTCTCATTGTAATGGTTATTAACAGGGATATTACTGCCTGCCTGGACTTTGCTCCTGTCTTCTTGAACAGAACTGAACCCTCAACCATGACATTTATAGTGTGATCAACTTTATAGACTATAAAATAAGAATTTGATAAAGCTTGCCATAGCAGTAAGAGATGGAATGGGGTGTGCCTGTGATGATACTTGTTGAAAGTGAGGACTTGGCTGATGAAATCTTGGTTCTTTAGAGCAAAACCCATATACAGGTTGTGGTTATGGAAATGTAATGATTGTATTACCAATAATATTGAGATAAGTGACCTAGGTTTAGAAAAGTACTGTCTACCTGTACTGCCATTTGGGATAGTTATTGCCCAGAGAAACCTCTGGAAACTCTGACATTTTTATGGTCCGAACCAGAGCCATATATCACACAACACATATGACACATTATTGATCACAAATACCAAAATGTATTAATCGTCCCTTCTCCATCGGTCTGTGCTATCCGGGATCCTTGGGACGTCCCTACCCCATTGAAGTTGACATTTAAAATGGTAAGGGTTAAGGTTAGGCCAGCGTTTCCCAAAATGGGTCCTCGGGAACCAAATGGGTGCACATTTAGTTTTTTGCCCTATTTTAATCAGCTGTGTAGTGGTAGGGGGAAAAACAAAACGTACAACCCTTGGGGTCCCGAGGACCGAGTTTGGAGTAGGGAGTCGAAAGGATTCTGGATAGCACTAACCATTCTCCATCCCTTTAACATGGTATGCAAGTTCTGACCAATCGACGACTCCCGTGGGCGGAAACAATTTGTTGTTGATAATTCCGGGTGACGTCGAGAGCCTTGCGCAGCCGCAGCCCGGGAGGAGAAGATGGTGCTTATCAAGGAATAGTGAGTTGAAGTATTTAACATATAATTTCGTCGTCTTTTGTAAGGCAATTTATTGAGACAATGTGGCTATAATGTGAAAGAAGTGTGTGTATTTCTGGCAGTTGAGAGTATATTGTGAGCGTTCGGGTGGATCAGGATGTGTCTTCATGATACCGGTGTTTAGGCCTAGACAACAGCGATAGCTAGCATGCTACCTTTGAATGAATCTGAATGGAGGAAACTAGCTAACTAACGGGGTAGCTATGTGTCTTTACATCTGTAAAGTTAGCATAGAGGTTAGCTAGTTAACTAGCCAACATGGTGCCATAAGCTTAGGTCTCGCGAGTGACAGATTATCAAGGTTCCATCTCAGGGGGCTCCGTTAAACAAGAAGAGATAGTCAGACTCCGTCAGTGAAATGTTTCTACGAAATGCAAAATACCATACAACTCAAATGACAGTTAATGTGCGAGTCGGCACAAACTAGTTAGTTTGCTATCAAACGTTAGTTCACTTATCCAAGTAAATCGTGCAAGCTAACTATCAGCTTGGGTGGCTAAATTACACTTAAGCTAATTACAATTACCTAGCCAGCAACTACCTAGTCCGTTATTTTTAGACCGTGTTGTTGAAGACAGTATCTGTGGTGTTGTGTTCAGACTATCCGTTCACTCTTTCCTGGCGAAACATGCAAGCTGCCGACAGTGCCGAGGCTTTTAACCCAGTCTGACTTTACTTGCGGGTTTCCCTGACGATTTTATTAAGCTTAAATGTTTGCTTGTCTCTTTAGGTGCAGCGGTTTTCATGGCAACCAAAAATCGCTAGCTACCAGCCTTCAGTTCACTCACACTTCTGTATGTTTGGCTGCATCATCAAGACATTATAATCAAATGCCAATAAATTATCCTCCCCCGTTGTCTTGCTTGCTTGATTATGTGTGAGTCACATCACCACCACCAAGCAAGCATAGTAATGCAATGACTGTATTGCTCAATGCGGTTTAATTTGTTTTTATATGTGCATCTCTAGCTGGCCAAGTCATTCCTGACATGCTGGCCAAGTGTGTCATCCAGATTTGATTTAGGGCTGTCTACATTTAAATTGATTAATGCCCCAACAGACCCAGGCTCAAGTTGTGTGTACTGTAGTTTTGCTCAGGGTGTCAGGACATATCCCCTATCAGTTGTCAAGACAACTAAAGCGGTGCCTATTCCATATAAGGTCTATGGGTGGTGACTGAACAGTCAGCTCACCAGATATTCCTCAGGTGATACAGGAATGACACTACTGGGGACATGACTGAAAGATCAATAAATCTGTTTGCCTTTTCCAAAGGTCTTTCCATGGACGGTTCTGTGCTTTCCCGTATTATGTTTTATTATGATGTCTGTGGGAAGTCTGTTACCATAGCTAGGGCTTGTAATTGCTCTAATATGTAGAACCGGTATGTCGTATTTGCAGACCATGCAGTGGACACAGCAGGTTGTGTGTCTCATAAATTGACCAGGTGTGTAAAGCACAGCACACTAACTATCAGAGTAAACGAAACATGTCTCCATATCTCCTCTTATCCTGGAGAGTGCAAATGTGCTGACTTGACTCACTTCAAATAACCTTCTGAACTGAGGACAGAATTGTGATTTGTGGGATTTTGCAGCCACTCCTTGGATTCTGTTTTGTTTTGGAAAGATTAAATGATAGTGCTTTGACTTATTTCCATATGGGGTCGTTCCATATGATTTCAATCGCTTTCTGACTGCACCCATTTTGATTTAAACAAAACCTTCCATACATGTTTGCCCATGGTAAAAGTGGTCAGAAAGTGACTTTTTGAACCTGAATGCCAAAACATTCAGGAGATGGAGCTGCTCAAAGTTGACCCATTTTGCATACCCCATCCTACCATGAGACATCATGTCTTCATCACTGAAAAAGATAAACGGTTGAGTTTATCATTTGAAAGCTTAGAGTTGTCAAACTATTTTATAAAGAAATATATATATGTTCATATACACTGATTGTACAAAACATTTTAAGAACACCTTCCTAATATTGAGTTGCACCCCACCCCTTTTTCCCTCAGAACAGCCTCAGTTCGTCGGGGCATGGATTCTACAAGGTGTCGAAAGCGTTCCACAGGGATGCTGGCTCATGTTGACGCCAATGCTTCCCACAGTTGTGTCAAGTTGACTTTTCGTCCTTTGGTGGACCATTCTTGATACATACGGGAAACTGTTGAGCCACCTACTACCATACCCCATTCAAAGGCACTTAAATATTTTTGTCTTGCCCATTTACCCTGGCACATGTACACAATCCATGTCTGAATTCTTTTTTTGAATTTAATTGATTTGGGTAACAGACATATACAACAATATTGTCTCAAGGCTTAAAAATCCTTCTTTAACCTGTCTCCTCCCCTTCATCTACACTGATTTGAAGTGGATTTAACAAGTGACATCAATAAGGGATCATAGCTTTCACTTGGTCAGTCTGTCATAAGAGCAGGTGTTCCTAATGTTTTGTACACTCAGTGTATGTTGTAAAATAGGGTCTAAGCTACATCTTCAGAGGTGTCTGTTGTGCCCACCATCGGTCGAGACACCGCATGCTCTTGAATACAGGGTGGGTGTCATGTTTTGCCTGATAAATGAACTAAAATGTGAATAAAATTTGAAATGTCAACTTTCAAAAGGTACCACGAAGATGGTTGAAGGTCCACACATCAGAGAATGTTGACTTTAATTTAAAACAATGGATATTCCCAACCACTAAACTGTGAATCTTCCATAGAAAACTTATTGAAATAGAAATATAGATAATAGAATACATTCCCATTCAAGTTGACATTTGACTGTTGAAACATTTGCCAAATCTAAAATGATATATTTTCAATATTCATGTTTTACTTTTCAATATTCATAAATTAATGTCAATGTTTTTATTGAAATCAAAATACTACTCATATTACAGAGAAGGCGGTAAAGCTTCATATGACACCAATTTTCGCTTTGTAGCATCTACAGATTAAACGTTATGGAGTCTTAAAGGAG